CTTTGAATTGTTAGTCTTAAAAACTGTTTATTCCACTTGCTGTGCCATGCAGTGTGACCATAGTTGTTGCATATCTTATGAAGAAACGTGGTATGGGCCCATCACAAGCGTTGGAATATGTTAAGAGCAAACGACCACAAGCAGCACCAAACTCAGGTTTTCTTTCACAATTGCAAGAGTTCGAGAAATCACTTCAAGGTGCATAAACCATGTAAACTGTAATTACACTTGTCTTAGTCTTGAGTCTTAAGGAAAAAATTCTACATGACAAAATCCCAAAATTGCACTCTGTTAGTATCAATGGAACTCTGTGCTTATCAGAAAGTTTGTATCGTCAGATTCTTGTTCTCTTGGTCTTGTTGTCATCAAACATTCAAAAAGCGTCCTAAACATTGTAAAATCTTTCCAGAATATGTCTTGCAGCAGCTCGAACAGAATTGTTCTCTATTGCACATTGCAGCCCCATCCTTATGACAGGTAATGAAAGCTCCCTGTGTATCTCGGTAAGTTCAAGAAATCTATTAGAGGAAGCTATATCAAGTCCTTTTCTCACCACTTTATTGTCAGAAGATCGCAAAGTCTTCGCAATGCATCCAAACAGAAGTTCAGCATTGGATTGGCTGATTTCATTTATGTTACCAATCGCCATCAGGGCTTTGATTTCATTGAGTAGAGAAGACTCACAAGTATGATCCCCACTCAGAATACCCTCAAAAATCAAATTGACCAGAGAGCCTTCCTTCTCCAGGAACCTTACTAAACACAGTTGTAACCAGGAAGAATAGATGGGGTAAGCCTTGATTCTGTGCATGGGTATCAGAACCAGCCGGAGAAAGTGTGTCTGCTCTTCTCGCAATGGCAATGGCCATTCAGGAATCCGATTGCTAACAAACTGCAACTGATTGCCTACCGCACTTGGTATGCAGCTCTTCCTGCACGGGCTGACAAAACGAGACAGATTACTCCGCACAGTCCTCCAAATTGATTGCCGTATCTTGGGGAATTTTGCCCAGAAAGTTGGTAGAAGGTCTGCCACAAAGCAAGCTTCTCTGTTGTCATCTGCTAGCACGGCAGTATTAAAAAACCAAGTAATAAACCTATCATCAATATGTTCCTCGCGTAACAACCCAGCATCAACAATTATTTGGAGGAATTCATAAAAGTTTCTCAGATGGACCCAGGCCGCTTCTACCAGTGGGATTTTCTCTCCAGTGTCATATAGATTTTTATTCTCTGTCTTAGAAACAACGGCAGTACGAGAGGGAAATGGCCTGAAAAGGTTAGAACGGAGCATCTTCATGATTTTACCGACTGCGTCATCCGGGAGAGATTCAAGAGTAAGAACATAATCTCCCATTTCTTTAAGCATACCATCCCTTTTAAATACTGTTTCAATCTTAGCAAGTATTCCTGCGGAGGCAACTCCGCTCTGTCTGATGTCAGAAAGAGATTGCTTGGCCTTGAAGTGCTCTTTGAAGGGTTTGAAATCGAAAAATTCTGAGCAGCAGTTCAGTTTCTTCATGAAGAGTTCTTATCTGTTTTCTAACGCGACGTCTCTTATTCTTGGAGAGTTATTATCCTTATTCTTGGAGAGTTATTATCCTCCATGTTGAATTGCTGGAAACAAAATCTATCTCAGCAAGATTAAACCCCAATAGAAATAGTCATAATTTGCAGGCATTTCAACAAAGGCAAAACCCTTAACAAAATCAATAAGAAAACCAACGCTACAATCTTTTCCTATCTTTATCCAATTGAGCTCAACCATTTTTCTTCTCCTCCCACGAAATACAGAGTCAAGAAGGAGAATTTTCATCAAACTGCAATACATTTATCAAATTGAACAGAAACCTACCCACTTTTTCTTTTCTTATCTCTGCGCAGTTTCTTCGGGAAACAAACGCAAATCCAAGAAGAAGGATGCAGGAGAGTGCTTACATTAATCGAATTGAAATTAAACCCTCTTCTCCTACTTCAAGTTTCTCAATTTTCATGATGGAACAAAGTGATGATTCTTTTAGGAATCAAATTTCAGCTCTTTTGCGAGTTATAAATGTAACACGATTCTTCAAAGAGGACAATGTTCCTTGCCAAATTGAAGAGGTGGTAGTGGGCAAGAACCCTTTTTATGAGATTATTTTTCATAATAGCCTGATTTTCTCCTGAAATCCTTTTGGTTTTTCTCTTTTTCAATTTCTCAGGGTCTTTTTTTGGGCTCAATTGGAGCTGCTAACAACAAGAATGCACTGAAGAGTTCTAACATCACCCATGTTTTAACTGTCGCTAGTTCACTGAGACCTGCACATACAAATGACTTTGTGTACAAAGTCATTCCAGGTAGATGGAATTGCTCTTTTAATGATGTGAACTTGATTTTCTATTTAGAATAACGTCTTTTGAACATTTGAAACCGTGCTTCTGAAGCATTGTCTTTCCTCGTCTTTGCGATGGCGTTCTTCAGATGGTAGTCTATTTCAGCTCTTTTGCTCCTGGGCAGCTAGTTGCTCTTTGTAATATGTGAGAATGTTAACAACAAGAGTCAGTATCACTATAGCTTATTAGTACCTTTAGCCATCTGTTTCTCATGCATAATCAATTTTGCCAAAACATGCATTCAACTGGATCCATATGAACTAGTATCAATTTCCTATCTCATACATGACTCACCTAATCTAAGTTCTCTAAAGTGGAACCCTGTGGCTTCTGCTCACATAATAAGGCCATATTTACTCATTGATGAAAGGGCTGTTCGAGTTTTTTTAACACATTGAGAATCTTGAAGAAGCATTAACAATAACTCTATTTTTCTCTCTGTAAATTGAGGTAGTCTTGGACAAATAAGATACAAATATAACTCAGTACTTCGATGAGTGCTTTGATTTCATCGATGAAGCCAAACAACGGGGTAGTGGTGTACTTGTTCATTGCTTTGTCGGAAGGTCGAGGAGGTAATTGTTTTCCTTTCCCATCTAAGTGACTGGGTTACTTGTTTTAAGGAGTCTGTTTTCAGTTACAGCGAAAAAGAGCTCTACCATGACATTCACTCATAATGTGCGTTTGACATGCTGAACATACGGCCGATCTTTTTGTTTATCTTGACTAGTATTTATGCCTCTTTCCTGAATCTGGCATTCATTCTGGACACTAATCTCTTGGAACTCTAATTATTTGAATGGCTTATGAATAATTTTGGTTCATACATCTGGTCTATTAGAACTCCTGATCGACTTGATCCTCTAGGCATTTCTATTTTTAAACCATATGGGACTTTGGTAAACTGTTGCATTTTCTTTGAAAGTTTATCGAAAAGCAAAACAAAGTTTTGTTTCTTGGCAAGTTTGTTTGAAGGAATATTCATTCCTAACTGTAAACTACTACTTTGAATTGTTAATCTTGAAAACTGTTTATTCCACTTGCTGTGCCATGCAGTGTGACCATAGTTGTTGCATATCTTATGAAGAAACGTGGTATGAGCCCATCACAAGCGTTGGAATATGTTAAGAGCAAACGACCACAAGCAGCACCAAAATCTGGTTTTCTTTCACAATTGCAAGAGTTTGAGAAATCACTTCAAGGTGCATAAATCATGTAAACTACAATTACACTTGTTTTGAGCTTAAGGAAAAAAACTTACATGACAAAATCCCAAAATTGTATTCTGTTACTATCTATGGAACTCTGCTTATCAGAAAAGTTTGTATCATCAGATTCTTGTTCTCTTCGTCTTGTTGTCATCAAACTCCCAAAAAGCGTCCTCCACATTGTAAAATTTTTTTAGAGTACGTTTTGCAATAACTCGAACAGAAAGCTCCTTGTGTATCTTGATTCAAGAAATCTATTGAAGGAAACCATATTTGAGAAAATTGTATGAATTTGGCTTATACCTTTAAAAAGCCCATAAACTTTACATCCTTAAGATTTTTAGCCCTTCAAGTTACAATACAAGGCAAGGATTTTAACCCTTTAACTTACCATCCATGAGAAGTTGATTTTGGCTTCTGACTTTCGAAAATCAGAGGAGCGTGAAATTTGTGCTTTTGGGGGTGCCTTGCTGGTCTTGAATGAAATTTACTGGTTATTCTTATTTTGCCCTCGTATTTTAACAAATTAACAGTTAAACCACCTATATATATTATTATTATTATTATTTTTAAACAGAGTGTTAATGGTGGAATTCGAATTTCCAACCCTGGTGGAGGGAGAGGGGTTACTGCAACTTCAAGGTGTCCGAAGGACACTTTCAGGTGCTTTTTTTTTTTTTAAACACTAATCCCTAATTTTTTTCATTTTCCCTTCTTCTCAATCTGCCGATCTCCTCTTCGAACAAATTCTTTGCCGTCGCTACTTCGGACTGCTCTGGTTAGCATGGAATTTCCTTCCGTCTCGTTCTGGTCTCTTTTCTTCTTCATTCTCACCCTATAGTAGATTTCCCTTTTCCCGATCTTGCTGCTCTATTCAAGCTCAGACATCCTCATCCTCCTCATCCCAGATCCAATGGTGTAGCCTCTAATCTTCAACGGCTAAGCGCCAGATCCAGTGGTTTATTACTGTTTCTTTTTTTCCCCTTTTTTCATTTCTAGAAAGCATGGGTTTTGCTTTATTTTCATTTATGTGTTGGATTTCAGCTTTGTTAAACATAAACTTTGAGATAATTAGGATTAAATCCATCAATTTCCATGCTGATTTCTTGGTTTTCTTCCTGCTTTCTGTCCTTCAAGGCGGAGCAAGTTGGGGCCCCGCCTGCCGTTCTTTTCACTTGTTTTTCTCATTCTATTGTATAATTTCATTACAAGTTGAGATTTTGAGTTTTGGGTTTTTCGTCTTTCTGTTTTTGTTGCAGTTCAAGATTGGGATTTGCCAGTTACCGGTGATGCCGGATAAAGAGAGGAACATTTGCGCGTGCTCTAAGGGCCATCGAGGAGGATGCAGAAAAGGTTGCCGAGCTTGTTCTGTTGCCTGTGAGTTTTCGTAGTATTTAAATCAGTAGCTTCATTTTTTAAAGATTATTTCGGGTTTTAGCATGATCAGTTGCCACTAACTGCACTTGTTCTCATACTATTACCGCTGGCTTATGCTTTTCTTTTTGCATTTTGTGTTGGAAAATTGAACTTTCAGAGGAGGTGATGATATTTATTTAACTTCTACTGCTACTGTTTGGGTTTCTATTGAGTTATCTAGCTCGATACTTGTTCTTGATTTTTATATTGATTTCTCCTTCCTACCAACAAATGAATTCAACATACCCATTTTCCTCCTGTAAAGTCGAAGTCTTTGCTTTGTATCTATCGAGTCTCTCCTCTCACTCGAATCAGGTATGGAGTATGGTAATGGGATTTGGGTATGAAAAGCAACCCAGTTTGGAATTGACGCTAAAGGTTTGACTTTGGCGAGACATGTTAACCTCCTTTCCTTGGTGTGCAGTACCTAAAAAACCCTAGCTTTTTGCTCCAAATTGCAATTCCATCCCTTGTTATCTCTGGAGGAAAAAAAAAAAAGGGTAACAAATTTCTGATATTTATGTTTCCTTTTACCTGATTGCTTACTTTATATTGCGTTGATGTTTTTTGCTTAATTATTATTTTAAAGTTTCTCTAGTTCCATTATTTTCTGCTCTGTTTTTGGTTGTTGAGTGTGATGGGGAGCTTGATTTATCTCAGTTTGGCTTCTTTATGTTGTTCACTGCCTCTTATGCATGTCTGTTGATTGTGTTTATGCCTTTGCTATTGCAAAATGCCTTTGTTAGCTTTTTTTTTTTTTTTTTTACTCTCAACTTGCCTCTTTATTATTAGTAGTAACCAGCTGTAGCTTTTCTTTGTAAATGATGTATATTGGCTAGCAAATCTTGTTGCTTTGTCAGTTTTGACAATTCCATGAGAGAATATATCTTGATGGCCTATTATTTGATTTCTGCTGTTTTATTAGCCTAGAAGCCTGCTTTGATTTTTGCTGTTCTATCATCCTTGAAGCCTGCATCAGCCACGCTTTTGGGTAAAAGCAGAGGTGGACCCATTTTTAATTTTTCCCAACCAAATCTGTGAAGAACACTGGATACCATATCACTGTTCCATGAAAAAATAGTACAAACACTTGGGGGCCTATTGTTCTTGATGGTAGTGTTCTCTTTTGGCTCTGGAAAGTCTCAGACAGAAAGAGGTGGGGGTAGAAAATGGGGAAATAAAGTGAATGTTCTCATGCTACAGTTTAAATTACTTATCTTGAGCAAGCCATTTAAGTAGTAAAATTCAATTCAGTAAGCTTGTGTAAAGATTGTTATTGTTACTGTTATTGATACTATCAAATTTATGTTTGTATAGATATTATTTAAAGGATAAAATCATTTCAAATGTCAAGTTTATGTTGTGTAGATATTATTTGAAGGATAAAATCATTTCAAATATATAAGAATTTCCCAAAATAATTTCACTTGCACAATGAAGGATCATAGCATGACTTCATTTTGAGATTTCGTGGTTCTATCTTTTATGAAAGGTTAGTCAAGATGATTGTTATTGTTAATTTTTAATTTTATTATTTTATTTATAAAACTTAAATGTAGCATGTCTTATTTTTTAATATTAAAATATAAGCATTTATCTATGTATCAATATTAAAATTATTTACTAGTATTTATGTTTTATAAATATAAAAAATTAATTTGTAATCAGCAACTTTTACACAATTAAATTAATAAAGAATTGAAGCTCTATAAAAATGTAAAAATAAAAGAGAGAAACAATGTTTCTTTAAAAAAAAATATATTTTTTTAGTCATTTCAATATTAAAAGGTCTTTTGTAAAAAATTTACTAAAGAGCTTTACATTCTAAAAGTTCTTAAGTAAAAACATTTTACCAAATATCTTCAGTTTTTAAAAAACAGGGGGCTTGTACAACAGATTTTTTGAAACAAAATTTTTATCAGGAGTTCTAGTCATACGAAACAAGCTCTTAGTTGTTAAATACTTTTTTTGGGTTTCTCTTAACAACTTCTTTAACTTCCTTAAATATTGCACTCAAGTCCTAAAGTTTTTGATACTCTACACTCTAATATCAAACTCTATCCAAACTCTATCTATCACATAAATACACAAATAAACTTCAATTATTACACAGATTGAACAGTCTAAACACACTGTATGCTGCTAATAAAAATAACATTTAGTTAGCATACTTTAATCCTTTTAAATTTTCTTTTAAGTATGCAATAGATATTTCCAATTTTCAGGATATTTTATATCATTGATCTCTACTAAAATTTTTATTATTTTATTTCTATAATATTCACACCGGTGATTATAGAATCTAACATCATCTACATAATCTAAGATAAATGCTTGCATTACTATTAATTTCTACGTGCACCGATAAACCTTTTTGTTTCGTTAGCTTTGATAGTAGCTTCTAATAATTTTGTTAATTTGTCTATAAATTCTAATTCAAATATTATTTCTTCTAGGTTCTCAGCACTTCCCAATTGAGCCCACTCTTTAGTGTTCTGCTGACATCTAAATCTCAATCTATTTAATGATGCAATCTCTTCGTTAAGCTTTCTATTATTATTTAATTCTAAAGCATTAATTGTAATTGCCAATCTTTTTGATATGGAATTCATAGATTCGTACCTTGGTTAATATTTCTAGTTCTATGTTTAGTTCAATTAAATTACTTTCTAGGTCTCCCTTTTCACTATTTAGATTACATTGCTCACTATACAATCTATGGTAGGTATTAATAGTAGCAAGACTTAACAATACTTCTAATTATGCATATAATAATTCTTTGGATAGTTCTTACCACTAAACTAAAGCCCACTTTGCTTTGTCTGTTGCTTCTTTGAAGATCACCAACTCAGATTACTGTGCCTTACTTTAAGAGCCTAACGCCAACACGCCTTTCTCATGGCTTTCAACTTCGCAACAAGTAGCTCAACAAGTTCCGTATACAAGGTTTAGAGTTGAATAATTTTTTAAGATTTCAGTAGAAAATAGCTTGGTAAGATTTTGGTAGAGGGTTTATAGAACTAAACAGTCAGTTATATTATATAATGTAGGTAGTACATACCTAATATTTTACACACTTCACACTTAAACTCTAAGGACTCTCAAAACTCCTTTTTCACGCTCAATTCTTTGATTCTCTATTTCTTCCACGCCCTTACAAGACGTAGTCCATGCCTTTTTTATAGGCAATATGGGTAGACTTCAACTTCAGATTTCTCACATAGTTTACTAAGAGATAAGGTCTTAGTACAATTATTTGAATTTCAAATCCAAACTTCAAACCTTCTTGAAGGTTATATAATTATATAATGGTCCTTTTTTTGATGAGTGGATTTTATTTTTTCATTATGCTTTTAATGTTGTATCACTTCTCATCTATCATATTTCCCCAGTAGGAGCTATCATAATAGTTGTTGTCTTCTAAGATATTTTCTTTATTATTGGGCTTTATTATCATTTCCTCCATGGTCTTGAATGTTGACTCTTTTTTGGCTGCTAAAGATTCTTCTTCATTTCATCCCACATTGTGGCGAGTTTTGCTTCCACATTTGCAGCTTGGTTTATCGCTTTTACCAATTAGAAATATCTTTGCATGTGGTTTCTGCACTGATTTGTTATTTCAAGGGTTGTGTTTTCCACATCATTTTTGAATCTCTAGTTTGCTAAATGGTTTGTTGGGAACTCCTGCATTTTCTTTTGCTTTGGCCTTTGCTCTAGCGAGAAACTCTCTTTTTCCTCATAGGCCATTGCTTCTTTGTGTTGGAAGATTCCATCTATAATTCTTTCTTAGTCTAACTACATGAAAGCTGGGTATGAAAGTGATTCCTTCTCCCCATTCTGGTGGTGTACTGTAGACTTCAAAACAAAATCTCATATTTTGACAAAATTTCAATTCTCATCTAAGCGAATCTTTGATTATTTGTGGGAAGAATGTGAACAAATACTTAATCTCTACCATTGAAGATCATTTTTCTAAGTAGACCTTGTTTGAACAACCATGCTACTGTATATGGTGAGCATGGGGGTGTTATCAAATACCAATTTTGATTTCTTTCCTAAATTTTCTCAACACCTGAATTACTTATGGATCCCTCATAAAGATACCTATGAGTTATAAATTAATTTTTCATTATAGTTGGTTACATATTTGTTATCTTTTCTTGAATGTCTTGAGGCATGAACCCTTCAATATTTTTTAAGACTACCTCTCTTCGGTATATGAACCATACCTTTTTTTGGCATTAGGCCAACAAGATAATATCTAGATTTTTTAATAGAAGGTTTTTCTTCCATGTATTTAGTAAGGAAATCTAAATTCTCACAGAGTGATTTAATTTCTCTTATTATCATATCATCTTGACAATTTTGCACATTTGTGAGGATTTTATTATCTAATATTTCTAAAATTTTATCTAATTTTTCTTTGATGCTTTTCTTCTCTTCTGCTAGCCTCCTAATAAGCATTTTTACTTGTGCAATGATATTGTGGGATCTCATCTCTATTCCTTACAACAAAGGAAATATTGGATCTTTATCTTGCTAGTTAAGAGATTCCTTAGCCATTTCTCTTAGCTCATGAATTTGTTCTTTGTCAGAACTAGATGAACTGCAAGTTTCCATGACTTCTTGCACAGAACTAGCCATTTCATGAGTTAGTACATTTGGAAAATAGTTTTTCCCACCTTTCATGTATTCGACCTTAAAGCGAAATTGCTTAAAACATAATTGCTACCTTAATAGCCTTCTTTGCTGCATACATTTATCAATGTTATTTTTTATAAAAGATGAAAAGTTCTTATTATCAATTCTCACTAAAAATTCTTTTGGAGATAAGAAAATTTCAAACTTCTCTATACCCTTTTTAACCGCCAAGAATTGTTTTTCATTGTTATGATAATTTTTCTTAGCTGGTTTGAAGGTTCCACTCACATAGGCACAAAGTTCTTCATTATTTGTATCCTTTTCTCTAGCTTTTAATATTGCACTCTAGAAGTTATTTGAAGCATTTGATTCTAGTATCATGTAGTCCTCTTCATTAGGCATCTTTAATTTTGGTAGGTTTTTAATCTTGATTTTAATTTCTTTTAGGTTAAAATCCCATTTTGGTCCCTCAACTATTGTACAGACCCCTGATTTGGTCCCTGAACTAAAAAAATCCTTAAGTTAGTCCCTACTGTTTACCATTTTAACCTCGATTTGGTCATTCCGTTAAAAATTGGCTTACGTGGACCGTTACTTGACGGAAAAAAAGGTGACAGTTTAAATACCTTGCCACATAGGATTGATAATGAAATAAATTATAAAAATAAAATTATTAAATGTTAAATTATAAAGATAAAATTACATTTTTACCCTATCTTCAACCGCACATCACTTTCTTTCCTTCCTCCTTTCGTTGCCCCTTACTTCCCCCTTACTTTTCATCTCCAACCTCTTTCGTTGTTCATCTTCTTCCCTTGGATCCTTGTTTGTTGGCTTGGGTTTTAATCCTCTCCTTTTCTCATCTCCTCATCATCTCTTTCCTTTCATCATTTATCATCTCCTCTTCGAAACCCAGCAGATCTGCTGGGTTGTCGAGAACCCAGCGATATGCTGGGTTCGATCCGCTGGGTTCTCGAGAACCCAGCGATCTGCTGGGTTCTCAAGATCCCAGCAGATCGTTGGGTTCTTCGATTTGCTGGGTTGTCGAGAGCCTAGCAGATCGCTGGGTTCGATTTCAATTAATCAAACCCAGCAGATCCGCTGGGTTCTCGACAACCCAGCGATCTGCTGGGTTCGATTAATCGAACCTAGTGATTTGTTGGGTTCTCAAGAACCCAGCAGATCGCTGGGTTCTTCGATCTGCTAGGTTCGATTCCTAGCGATCTGCTAGGTTCTTGAGAACCCAGCGATTTGCTAGGTTTGATTTTTTTTAAATATTTATGTTTAGAAGCTTGAATTTTAGGGATATTTTTGGGTTGCAGCTGATTATTTTGCTAATGAATATTTTGTTTGTGTGGGCTGCTCTCATTGAGAATTTGGCAAAAATTGGTTGAGGGAAAAAATTTGCCCATATGGCTGCTTATGATTATCGAACCCAGCAGATTGTTGGGTTCTCAAGAACCTAGCGATCTTCTGGGTTTGATTTCTTTTTTTTTTTTAAATATTTATGTTTAGAAGCTTGAATTTTGGAAAAATATGCCTTGATATTTCTGAGGTTTTCTGGGGAGGTTGAAAGAAAGAATTTAGGGCGGTGACTGGTCTGGGGAGATTCTAGATTTGTATTATTTTTTGATTTAATGTTAGAAGGTGTTAGGGTTTGCAGAAGGCGAAAGGAAAGGAAGAAGATGAAAGGGAAAAAAAGGAAAATC